TGGAAGAGATACGTAGAAGCTGATTTTCCAGAAGGATTTTAAGCGTGCACTCCAAACAGAATCAGCCCAGGGTAACTGGGGCATCTTGAGTTTTGGCTTTCATCATCCTCCCCCAGTCCTTTCTGGGCTTTTCCCTCTCCACATTTCCTTCCTTCTCCCTCCCACTCTACCACTAAGTCCCCCTAACCCCCAGAAAACATACCTTTCAAGAATTTGGGAGCTTTTCTGCCTTTCTCTAACAGGAATTTGGATTTTTTTTTAATAGAGGCATGTTTTATTTATTTATTTATTTATTTGTTTGTTTGTTTTGTTTATACATGCACTGGGTACAGTCAGAAGCGTGGGAGGGTGAGAGAATTCACCAGAGCCAGAGCGGGGAGCAGAGCAGGCAGACGGACCGAAGGACACTGCTGAGGGGAGCAGCGGGCGGCAGGAGAGGTCTGCGCGCCATGTGGGACCCTCCTCTGGTGTCTGGGGAGCAGCCGGGGATTGAACCGGCACTGCAGAGGCTGCGGGCAGCTTCTCAACCCAGCGCTCAACCGCTGCGCCACCGGGGAGGCCCGGAATTTGGATTTTTTTAAGTGGGTTAATTTGTATTTTTATAATATACTTTTTATTGAGGTAACATTGGTTTGTAATATTGCTTGTGATTTAGAGGCACAGGATCTCCCCCTTCAGATGCTGCTATCACACCACACCACACCAAGGCACCTGCAGTCCTCCCCTGTAGTCCACTGTGCTCCCTTCCCATTTTGTCCTCTCCCATACCCCTCCTCCTTTGGTAGCCTCAGTTCTACAGTCAGATTTCTGGGGTTTGTTGTTATTGGTTTGGCTTATCTGGCTCTTTGTTTCGTTTCTCTATATTCTGCATACACATGACACTATTTGTCTTTCTCCTACTGATTTATTTTGCTTAGCATAATCCCTTCCAGTTCCATCCATATTGTTGCAAATGGCAATAGTTTATCTTTTTTTAATACCTCATTAGTAGTCCATGATATATATATTCAACATCTTCCTAATCTACTCACCTGTCTTGGGCAGTTAGGTTGCTTCCATAACTTGGCTATTGTGAATAGTGCTGCAATGAACATAGGAGTGCATATGTCCCTCCAAATCAATGTTTTTGTACTCTTTGGGTAGATACCTAGCAGTGGAGTTGCTGGATTATATGGTAGATCCATTCTTAGTCATTTGAGAAACTTCCATCCAATTTTCCATAGGGGCTAGTCCAGTCTACACTCCCACTACCTGTGCACAAGAATTCCTTTTTCTCTACTTCCTTGCCAACACTTGTTGTTTCTGGTCTTTTTGATATGGGCCATTTTCACTTTGTGGTTTTCATCTGAGCATTTTTTCATGTGCCTATTGGCCATCTGTATGTCTTCTTTGGAGAAGCGAACAGGCATTTGGATTTTAAATGAGAACCAAGGAGGCAGTGTTCAGCAAGCTCCCGGGATTTATTTTGGAGCTCTTGTGTGGGGACAAAGACAGAATCTTTTTACTTTTTGGAATTTTGGAGTTATTTTCTATAGCATGATTAAATTTTTCCAAATAGTTCATGTATGTTTGAGAAAAATGGGTATTATTTGCATTTCTCCCTTCAGTTCTTCATCTCCTGTACCCAGTGAAACACTGTTTTCATCTCTGACTGTGGAGTTTTTGAGGCAAGGACTGTGTTATGTTCATCCTGTGTTCCCAGAACCAAGCAGGTACTTGGAGAGGGCTCGTGGGAAGGAATGCCTTGTGCACAGCGCCAGTCCTCCGCCAATCCTCTCCAGCACTCATAGACACCCATTTGGGCTATGAAACGACTCCTGTTTCTGATTCCTGTCCACCATCTCCTGTTTTCCTTCACTTTACTTTTCTTGAAATGAGCAACTAGGGTATGAGATCCACATGATTTTTTACTTTTGGAATTTTGAAGTTGTTTTCTATAGCATGATTAATTTTTCCCAAATAGTTCATGTATGTTGGAGAAGAATGGGTATTGTTTGCTGAGTATTCAATTCTATGTATAGGTATTTAGATTGTTATTCACTTATACCACTTCTTAGTTTTTCTACATGATTTGTTGATTTTGAAGAGTATGAAGTGTTAAGTCTCCTATTTTGATGATAGATTTGTCTGCTTCTTCTTTGGTATCTGTCTTTGCTTTATATATTTTTAGATTTTGAGTTAGGTATATAATAATTCATGATACATATCTTCCAGGTGTTTATCAAAACATCCCTCTTTTTTAAATGTGTTTTATTTTCTTTTTGGTCAAGCATTCTGTTTTCTGATATTAATACTGTTACATCTGTCTTCTTTATTACTTGCCTTATATGTATTATTCTTTTGAGAATTTTTTTAAGTAGACGAGTACACAGAAAGAGTAGACATATTCACATAACTAAGAACTAATAACTATTGGTATTTTTCTTCCTCTTTCTCTTTTGTTAAGAAATATAGCATCACAATTAAAGCTAAAGCTTTCTTAACCAACATCTTTGTCTCCCCTCGACTTCCTGAAGCACCCACTATCATGAGTTTGATGGTTGCTCTTTACTTGTATTACTTGTGTTTTTACATACATTATATACAAGTCATTCTTTAACAGCATGCAATGTGATTCTTGTGGCTTTAAATTTACATAAATGTTGTCATACTTTAGGTAGATTTCTGTCCATTTTCTTGTAAACTCATATTGTGCTTCTTAAAGAAATCCTCCTTGTTGATATATGCAGAACCTATTCTTTTCTTTAAGTGCCATATAGGATGTTCTGGTATAATAACACACACATTTTATTTATATATTTATTTATTGGTGGACATGAAGTACTTTCCATTTTCCACTATAATAATGCTCTAAGCACATCCTTATATTAGATGAAAACTGTTAGATCTCTCTCCACACTGGCTGCACCATTCCCATTCCTGAAGACTCTTGGGAGGGCTTCTCTTAGTCTATACCAGGAAGTAGGATCTCTGAATTGTGGAATATGTGTATTTCCAATTTTATGGATTCTGCCAGTAGGTCTGTAATGGGACTATGCTATTGGTACCCTACCTTCCAACAACATATGAATGAAAACCCCTTTTTCTCTTTCCTCTTAAGAACTTGATATCATCAATACAGAAGCTCACTGACTCATAATGAACCCATCATGAGTTGAAAATATCATTAGCCAGTATATTTTTTACACCTAGACTGCCAAACAGCATATCATAGCCTAGCCTACCTTAAGGTTGCTCAGAACACTTACATTAGCTTATAGTTGAGCCATTCTCATGAGTTTCATCTCAAGAGTAATTGCCTGCCTTCTCATGCGGGTGTTCTGCAGACTTGATGGGATGTGAAAACATGATATACAATATCCAAAAAACACTGGCAACAAATCATACTGTAGAATATCAGTTGTTTACCCTCAATATTGTGAGGCTACCTGGGAGCTATGACTTCATGCCACTGTCCAGCATCAAGAGAGTATGGGACCATCGAAAGTTGAGAAATTGTATGCTGAATCATCTTAAGTTAGGGACTATCTGCTTATCTTACAGATGAAAAAGAAAATACTGTTGTTTTGATTTGTATTTTCATGGATTTCAGCATAATTGGCCTTGAAACCTTCCTTCCTTAAGGCAGGATATATGGGGGAAATAACATTTTTTTCCCAGTAGATACTTTTCTATTTTTTCAATCTAATTTGAGACTCCTTAACTTTTAAGAGATTTTGATTTATTAAATTATTTTAATTTCTGAAATAGTTAAACTCCATTCCTGATAGCTTATTTTGTTTTCATTTACAGTATTTTCATATTGTCTTTTTTTGTGCTTCTCTATCTTAATCTTTGTTGTATTAGTAAAGTTTACTTATTTCATTTTTATTCTGTGGTTATCTAATTTTTACTATCATTATTTAAAATATTATACCACTGATGTCTAGAATTAGAAATATCTTTATTTTGGGTTAATCTGTCCATTGACTGGCAACCTACCTGCAGGCCATTATTTAGAGAAGTTTGAGATGACAAGCTTTTTGATTTCTCGAAAGCCTGAAATTGTCTTTAGTTTGCTTTCACATCAGATTGATTATTTGGCCGGGTATAGAACTTTAGATTAAAATTATTAACTGATGTAAGATGATATCTCATGGTGGTTTTGATTTGCACCACTATGGAGAGCTGTGTGGAGATTTCTTGATCTACTAAGCATAGAGCTTCCATATGATCCAGCAATTCCACTCCTAGGTATTTACCCAAAGGACACAGAAACATCAATTCCAAAGAGCACCTGCACCCCTATGTTTATAGCAGCTCTATTTATAATAGCTAAGCTTTGGAAACAACCCAAATACCCAAAAATAGATGACTGGATCAAGAAGATGTGGTACATATACACCATGGAATATTACTCAGCATTCAAAAAAGATAAACACATGCAATTTGCAGCAACATGGATGGCGCTGGAAGGGATCATGCTCAGCGAAATAAGCCAGAAAGAAAAAAGAAAAATCCCAGATGGTCTCACTCATAGCAGGAATCTAGAAAACTTAAATAAGGGACCAGGAAAATGAATAACTATAAGAAAGTGAAAATCAAAATCAACAAAAAACTATGAACCAGAGACACTCTATTGGGGGGTGGGGGGTGGGGAGGGGAGGGATTGGGGTCAAAATAAGGGGGTTGCAATTGTATGGGGAATATAAAAATAAAATTTATTTAAGAAAAAAATAAAAAATAAAATTAACTGCTTCCAGATTTATTTCCAAATGCTGTGTACCACCATGCATTACCAATTAATGGAAGTTGAGTATCCTAACATTCTGACTACATTGACATTATCCAGTTTTCTAATTTTAGTCGATCTGATAAGAATATAAGAATTTCTGTGCGTTGGCCACCGCGAGGTCTGCGCCGGTGCCGACTGCGAGTGGCCCGAGCGGCGTGCGGGCTGCTGTAGCCGCTTTCCTGCCCGGACTGGGGGCATTCTACTCCCACTGCCGCCTGCGTTCATCATGAAGCGTCTGGGGGCCGTGCAGCGGAAAGTGCAGTGTGCGTTTGTGACAGAGGTGAAGGAGGAGCCCTCCGCCAAACGGGAGCATCAGGTCAGCCATACGTTTGGACTCGGCTGGATAGGAAACCTAACCAACTAGCTGAGAAAAGATTTAAAAATTTTCTCCATTCAAAACAGAACTCAAACGAATTTTTTTGGAATGTTGAAGAGGACTTCAAACCTGTTTCAGACTGTTGGATATCAGCAAAGGAAATAGAACATTTAAATGGAAACCCAGTGCCTGATGAAAATGGACACATTCCAGGTTGGGTGCCAGTAGAGAAAAGCAACAAACAGTATTGTTGGCATTCCTCTGTAGTTAATTATGAATGTGAAATTGCCTTGGTACCGAAGCTTCATCCTGATGATCCTGGTCTTTTGGAAATTAGTGCAGTGCCACTATCAGATCTCCTAGAACAAACACTGGAGCTAATAGGAACAAATATTAATGGAAATCCATATTGGTTAGGAACCAAGAAGTGTCCATTACATCTTCTTATACCACATGGAGCATTTCAAATAAGAAATCTACCTACCTTGAGACACAGTGATATATTGTCCTGGTTTGAAGGCTGCAGAGAGGATAAAATTGAAGGAATAGTATGGCACTGCAATGATGGCTGCTTAATTAAGGTCCATCGCCATCATCTTGGTTTATGCTGGCCAATTCCAGACCCTTATATGAATTCAAAGCCAGTTATTATTAAACATGAACCTGAACAAACATGACTATGCCTTTGATACGAAAAGAAAAAAAGTAAGAATTTCGCTTGTTATTTTAACTTGCATTTCTGTAATCCTTAGAGGTGTTAGCAGTTTCAGTTTTATCTTTTTGGTTGCCTATTTATATCATTTCCCATTTTTTTCTGTTAAATTTCCTGGTTTTTGTTTTTGTTTATTTTTATTACAGATTTTAGAAATTATACCATTGTCAATTTAATACATTGCAAATATGTATTTTCAGTCTTCTGCCCACAGTTTTGTTTGTGATGTCTGCTGGTGAAGAAGAAAATCCTAATTTTTTTATTTAATCAAGTTAACTTTTATTTACTTCTTATTTATGATTGATGATTTGGGTATTTTATTTAAGAACTATTTTCCTATCTTTAGAGAACAGAAGTTTAATATCTACTATAAGTTTTGTAGTTTGACTGTTTACCCTAAATTTTTAATCCATCTGAATTAATTCCATAAATTCCAGTTCGAAATTTTCTGTAAAGTGAGCTACTTTTCCCAAGCCACCTTCCAAAAAGGCCATCTTTTCCTCATTAATCTGTGATGCCATCTTTATCTTACTGAATTCTCATATACACAAAGGAAGGTCTCTAAGCTCTGTTGTCTGTACTATGATCCTTTTGTATATCATTGGACCAGCAATAGATTTTTTTTGTTGCTACGGCTTTATAGTATGTCTTTTTTTTTTTTTACCAAAATGTTTTTTTTTTTTATTTTGAGATAATTTCAAACTCACAGAAAAGTTTCAAGAATAGTACAGGGAGATCTCTTTTTCCCCCTGAACCATTCAAAAGTAAATAACTGATTTGATACCCATCACACCTGAATACTGTTTATATTATCAGCAAACACACTTCTATAACCACAACACAACCATCAAAATCAGGACATTAATATAGTGAGTTGGGCAATTAGTTAGTTAATAGTTAGTTGGGCAATTTCTAAGTCATTTAACTATTTATGGTCCTTTGCTATTCCCTATTATGTTTCCAAATACATTTATTAAGCTCTTTTTAAGAAGTCACTTGGAATTTTAACTGTGATTCCAGGGCATCTTACATTATTTGTAGCATTGACATCTTTATATACTAGGTGTTTCCATCCAAGAGTGTGTGTGTGTCTATTTATTTGACTCTTTTATGTCCTTCAGCAGCATTATGTTAATTCTTAGATGATAGTTTTTGTTGCAATCCTGTCTGACACCTTACATTTTTGTTATATTTGTTAGTTTAGAGGATGCTGTTGAGCTTTATAAGTTGATATTTTATCAAATATTTTGCTAAACTTGTAATTTTAATATGTATTTATTGATTCTGTTGGTTCTTCTTCCCTGGGGTGCTGAGAAGGATAGATCTTTGAAATATTTAGCAATTGTGTATGTGTTTAAAATTTACATGAATCTCACGATGCAGACATCATTTTGTCCTTTTGTTTTCTTGTCACTCAACACAATGTTCCAAATGATACTTATGTTATTATACATATCTCACCATATGATTCCTTTTGTTATCTGCACAGCACACCATTACATTTTATTTATCCATTTTCTTAGTGATTAAATCCTAGGTTGACTCTACTCCTTACTATGAAAAACAATGCTGATGAACATCCCTATAGATGTTTCTTTATGGGGATGTGCATCAATTTTTCCAGAACAGTATCAAGAATGGAGTTGACAGGTAATAGAGAATATGCATACTGAATTTCACTAATTGTTTCCAGATTGTTCTCCAGCATTGCTGTACCACTTTACATACCCACAGTTATTGAAACAGGATTTCTTCCCCTGTATATATCATAACCTCCTTTGCTATTATTTAATTTTATAGCCCTTTACTACTCTGTGGTTGCAAAGGTGCATCTTGTTTGAATGATCTTTTTTTCCTAATTACTAATGAGGTTGAATATCTCTTCATAATATTGTTAATCATTCAGGTTTCCCCTACTTGAACAGCCCTCCTTCATTTGCAAATAATTTTGAAATTAATCCTTGCAAATATCTCTTTCCAACCTGTCACTTGTCTACTGTCCAAGGTTTTGTTGCATATTGGTTGTCAGGATAATCTAGATACTTTGTTCTTTCTGCAGTTACTGTAAGTGGCATCTTTTTCCTAATATAGCTTGCTTGGTTGTTGCTGTTGTTAGAGTAGTATTGATGCTTGGAAATTGATTTTGTATCTGGCAACCCTGCTATATCTCTTATTATTTCTATTGTTTATCCAGTTTTGTTGCATTTTCTATGTAGATAATCAAATTATCCACAGACAATGAAAGTTTTGTTTCTTCTCTTCCTATCGTTTACCTTTATTTCTTTTTCTTGTTTTCTCAGTTAGTTGGGAGTGCCAGTAGTAGGTTGGACCAAGTTAAAGCAGTGATTGTGAGTATCTTTAATTGGTTACTGCTGCTAGAGAGGATGTATGCAAAGTTTTCCCATGGGTTATGATGCTTACTCTATGTTTTAATATATAGGCTTTATCAAAATTATAGATTTTCAGCCTCCCTTGTTTTCTGATAACTTTAATTTTAAATAGTTAGACTTTTATTATGAACAATTAGGAGTGGTTTTTTTTTTGTACCAAGTAACCATCATGTAATTTTTTTCTTTAGCCCATTAATGTGTGACTATACTAAGTTTTAAAATTTCATTTCAATATGATGTATTTTTAATACACATTTTTTGATCCAGGTAACTATTACTAAGTGTCTTTTTTTGTTGTTTATAAGATCTTTATGATTCCAGTCTTATGGAATTATGATTATAACTTATGATTACAGTCTCATACAATGAGTTGAACAGCTTTTCTTCTTTCAGTTTTATAGAATAAATCTGTATATATAGATTTTAACAGTTTCTTAATTGTGTTGGCCTGTCCTTAAAGCCATCTAAGTCTCAGACTTTCCTTTTTTTTTTTTTTGTGGACCCTTGCCAGTGGCCGAGGATCGAACTGGTGCTGCAGAGGCTGTGGGCAGCCTCGCAACCCAGCGCTCAACCGCTGTGCCACCAGGGGAGGCCCTCTCAGACTTTTCTTGACAGGTGAAGAGGACAATAGTGACAAGGGTAGTCTTCCATAATATAATTTCTATTTCTTTAATGATTAATTGATTTCTAGTTTGTCTTCTGTGATTCTTTCCAAAATTTTATTTATTATTGTTGTATAGGTTTTTCATAATTAAAAAATTATTTATCTGTTATGACTTTATTCTTTGTCTAGCCTGCATTTTGCTTATATATTTCTTTTTCCCCAATCTTAGTCTTGATGGGTTTGCCATTTTTATTAATGTTTAAAAAAAAACCAGCTTTCTGCACTTATTTTTTTCTGATATTATCTTCATTTTTCTTATTTTTCTATTGGAGGTACATATTTTTTGCTATTCTTCAAGTGTCTTAATTTGAAGGTCTACTTCACTTGTGGTCTGATAAAGATATTTAAAGTTAAAAAATTTTCTCCAAGTACCATTTTAACTGTGTTTTATAGGATTTCCATGTAGTGTACTTCAAATAGAAGTATTTCATATTTTTTAACCATAAATTTTAACCTTTAATTGTGATGATTTTTTTTTGTTTGATATATCAGTTCTAGAAAGATGTGTCAAAATTGACAACAAAAACTATTGACTTAAAATTATTGATCCTACAGTTTATTGGTTATGTTATATATCTTGAGGTTGTATATTTAGCTACTTGTAGAAATGTAATCTTTATGTCTTAAAGGTGTAGTAGTACTTTTATAGGGCATAGTATTCTGTTTTCTGTCTTTATGAATTTTTTACCCTAAAATTGATTTAATCTCATATGAAAATTGCCACTGTTTTCCTTTTGATTCATATTCTTCTTCAATTTTTTATTTTCAAACATTCTTCTGTTTGAAATATCTTCTAGGCAATATATTATTTGATTTTTTAAAAAGATTCATTCTGAGAGTGTGTCTTTTGATTGGTGAATTTAATCTGAGTATCAACTTACTGTAGTTAATGTTGCATTGGGATTTATTTCAATTTTTAATTTCCTGGTTTTTATTTCCATCCTTTTGTATTATTTTTATGCTTTCTTTCCCTAAATTCCATTGAATGGATTGAATTCTACCGATCTAAATACTGTACATCCTATATTTACTCTTATGTGGTTGCTTCTAATGTATGAAGGAATATTTATTACCATCTGCTTCTGAATACAATTTCCTTAGTCATCTCATCCTCTCTCTGATTTTCTCCTTCTACCTCATATCATATAGAAATTTAGTTCTGGAGTTTCATGATTATCCTATTTATTTTATTAGATTTTTCTTAGTGAGACTACAATTAATTTGATTAATTTACATACCCATCCTTCTCTCACATACCTAGGATTATCAGAGAAAATACAGTTTACTCCCAGTTTAATGTCACTATTACATGGACATATTTATATTAAAAAATTCATTATTTATCTAAATGTGTTATTATTGCTGCTATAGTTTTCCTACTCTGATAACCCTGTCTATATTTCATTACTCTCCAGCATCTATTTCTCTATTTCTGAGTATATCTTTCAGGATTTTTTTCAGTAGGATTTGTATGTGATAAAGTGCACAAGGTATTGTATGACTGAGAGTGTCTTTCTTATATCCTTACACTTAAATTATAGTTTTGCTGGATGCAGTATTCTGAGTTCAGGTCTTTTTTTTTTAATATTTTATTTTATATAATTCTTACAACTTTTTTCATCTTTGCACAATGTATGCATTTTCGTTTTGGTTATATTCCCCATACAATTGCACCTCCCCCCTTATTTTGACTCTAGTCCTTCCTTTCCCTCACCTCCCACCCACTCTGCAGTGTGTCTCTGGTTTATAGTTGCTTGTTGATTTTGATTTTTACTTTGTATTGATTAGTCTTTTTCCTGGTCTCTTATTTAGGTTTTCTAAATTCCTACTATGAGTGAGACCATCCAATATTTTTCTTTTTCTTTCTGACTTATTTCGCTGAGCATGATCCCTTCCAACGCCATCCATGTTGCTGCAAATTGCATGTGTTTATCTTTTT